CAAAGCACACATCAGCAACAGTGCTTGATCTTCATCATCGATCTTCACATCAATATTTTCAAGATCAAGAATCAACTTGTTAAACATATCCAACTGCTCAGCCAACACTTTATCTTCACTCATCTTGAATGAATATAAAGCTTGCTTCAGGTAGAGTCGATTCACCAGAGTGGTCATGTACAAACTTTCAAGTTTCACCCATTATCCCAATGTTGTAGTCTCCTTGGATACCTGTCAAAGAACCTTATCACCAAAGCTCAACAATATTGCGTTGTGGGCTTTCTCGATCATGCTCGTCTTTTGTTTTGCCGTTAACGCAACGTCCATGGCTGCCTCACCCTTCAACGCTTCCAAACAACTCTGCTGAAAGCATCTTCTCCACGCTCACCGCACCAATTTATTGTGAATCGGATACCTTTAAACGAAGTATAATAGGTTTCTTAATGATCAAGAAACACACAAGGGTTAGGGTTAATAAAGAAAAAAACAATAAGGATTGATTATTAAACTACCATTCTTTCCTTTCTCTTAGAACAAGATTGCTAGTATACAAGAATAACAAAATAACCTCTCTCTCTCTCTCTCTTGAAATTAGGATTTTATCTTCCTATTTTTCCTTATGACAAGATTGAGAAACTAATATCTTATTTATAAGAAAAATAGCACACTAACCTAATGGGTTTTTTTAACAATTACCCATTACAAGTTAACTTAGGGTACAAACTAACTTAAACAGTTGGGCTTACAAGTAAGGCACAATTCAACATGCTAACAACCCTAGCAAGATTGACTAATGCATGTTAGAACAAACTTCGACTACAACACGCATTACTCTCGAACAAACTTCGACCATATTAGAGTTCAATCCAACATCTCACAGAGAGGAAGTAAAAAAGAAAAGTCATGTTCTCAAGAGAAAATAGGGAGGTAATTGTCTACTTCCCAGGCTTCTAAGAAATGGTACTACTTATTTGGAGACTAAGATCCAGACTCAATAGATTCTTATAAGTAACTCAAGTCTGAGATCGAGAAGAAGATATTCAATTCAACACAAATGCACCATTATACAATGCTTCTCATCACCCTTGTGTGAATTTAATCTAACATTACAACAACCTTACAATTTTCTGACAACCTTATGTCAAAAGAGATTGTCGCGTATTGCACTTTTAACAAATACAAAATTTTTATTTTAAACAAAAAATAAATAAAAAAACTTTATGATTTTTTTATAAAAGAAATATTAAACTAAATAACACGGTTATTAAACTTTTCTAAAATACTATCTTCGTCTTAAATTACAAGACGTTTTGACCATTTCACACAAATTAAAAAACTTATACTTTATGTGAAAGATAAATTATGTACGACTTTACAGAATTGTTCTTCATAATTATATAGGAGAACAAAATTAAAAGAATTAATAAAATAAATAATAATAAATATTTAAAGATATATTAGAAAAAATATCATTAATATTATATTGAAAATGTAAGGTGACTATTTTTGACAAAGTGATTTATAATCTATAACATATATAAAGACAATACTTGATTTTTGGTGTAGCTTTTTTTAATACCAAATTTACCCTTATTTTAAAATATATAACTTACCCAATAACTTCCATTTAACTACTACTATCATCTTTCATATAACTCCCTACTAATAACTTTCCACATAACTTCCATGAAAAATTAATATTAAATAAAAATATATTATTTATGTTTATATGTGTGCAATAAAAAAGCGGACAGACGGGCACGCGAGTGCTCGTCTGGACGCTAGTTTAAGATAAATGGAATATCCATTATGATTTTATTTTAAAATTTTGAACTAAAATAAACACGGTATTAAACTTTTTTCAAAAGTACATTTTGATTTTATTTAAAATAAAAAACCGTTATTGATTGATGTGTTTGTCTGTTGTATAAGTACATTACATAATCCAAAACCATTTGAGTGTCCGTCATGTTTGGTTTGACTGTTATTTAACTAACACTGGGCCCACTCTTTTTCTTCTTCCTTACTTCAACTTTCCATCATTCCAAGATCTCTTTTCTCTCTCTCATTTTGCATTTCACTTCTCATTTTCAGAGATCCAAATCTTACCATTCTCATGCTAAGGTACATTCAATTTCCAATGTTTTTTACATCTCTTTTTTCTCTTCTTATTCCATCTTCAAACTTTTTACTTTTTGTGACGGTTTATGTTTTTTAGTGTCAGTTTCTAATTCTTTTCATTAATAAGGTTGTTACTCATTTTTCAGTTAACAATTTGTTCATAGATCTGTTTCTATTATTTCTCCTTTTTGTAGCAGTTTCTTTTTTACATGCATTCATTGTGTCTTTTTAACGGTTTTCTTTTGATTATTACAATATGCATTTGTTGAAATTTTATGTTTTTAATTGTGTTTATGTTAATTTAATTACTTTTAACCTAAATTTGTTATCATTGTATTTGCTTTTCTTTTTTTTTTTTTAACTTGAAAGTAACAGGAATTACAAATGGGAAAAAAAGGAAGTTGGTTTTCTGCAGTGAAGAAAGTTTTCAGTCATGATTCCAGAAAAGACAAGGTTTCATATTTATTATTACTATATATATATGCTACAAAAACTGGAATTTTTTAATTGATTATTACTACTATATATATTTACATATAATTTATTTTATGTTTTTTTATTTGAAAAAAATTAATCAGAAAAGTCAGAAATCAAAGAAAAAAAGTACTCAACAGGACACAGATGTGAAAACAGAAGAAGTAGTACAAGTTTCTGTTCCACAGATAGAAGATGTGAAATTAAGTGAGTTAGAGAACGAACAAAATAAACAGGCTATTTCTCTTGCTTTTGCCACTGCTGTCGCGGCGGGGAAGGCTGTTGCTGCTGCTCAGGCTGCTGCCGAGGTTGTTCGTCTCACGAGTATGCCTCTTTACCCTGCAAAGACTATGGAGGAATTGGCTGCTATCAAGATTCAGACCGTGTTCCGTGGATATTTGGTATGACCGTTCTTCTTGTGTTTATTTATTCGTGCCCTTTTTCAGTATTACTGATAATTCATATTGAAGGTGTGTCTGGTCTTGACACGTTTAGATATATTTTATTACACAATATTTTGAAATATTACACTTGTCGATGTGTCAGCGTTAGCGTCGTGATTGTGTCTATGTCAAGGGTTTTATAGTTTAGAATGAAGTTTGTTCTCATCATATATGTGTTGTTTGTGTCTGTATCCGTGTCGTGTTGTAAACTCCGAGATACCGAGTTTGAATCTTGCTGATAACAAAATACATGTTTTTAGGCGAGAAGAGCTTTGCACGCATTGAGAGGTTTGGTGAGGTTGAAGACAATGATACAAGGACAATCTGTTAAACGGCAAGCAGGCAGCACCTTAAGATGCATGCAAACTCTAGCAAGATTGCAGTCACAGGTTCGCGAAAGGCGAGTTCGAATGTCCGAGGAGAATCAGGCTCGTCAGCGCCAACTACAACAGAAACATGAAAAAGAATTCATGAAGTCGCAAACTTCCGTAAGCATTTTATATATACTAGCATGCAGACGGAATTAGGATTAGATTAGATTTGAAAACATTAAGGATTATGTTTGATTAGTGACGTATCGCCTATCAGATATGTATTGTATTCGATACGATACTCGTATCGTATCCGTGCTTCATTCTATTTGATTTGATTAACAGCAGGTTGGAGAAGAATGGGATGATAGTTTGCAATCAAAGGAACAAATTGATGCAAAATTCTTGCAAAGACAAGAAGCTGCTTTCAAAAGAGAGAGGGCTTTGGCTTATTCATTTTCACATCAGGTACCAAAAAAAGTGATTTTTGGTTCAATATAAGTGATTCTGAAGGTGTAAATAACTAATGTGTTACTCTAACAGCAAACATGGAAGAGCTCTTCAAAATCTATAAACCAAACATTTATGGATCCAAACAATCCTCACTGGGGATGGAGTTGGTTAGAGAGATGGATGGCGACTCGACCATGGGAAGTCGAAAGCCTCATTATGAATCACAGACCTTCTCCGGTCGGCCAAAAATTAAGAAGACAAAGCACTCAGAATTCTCCTTCAACTTCAAAGACAAAGCCGTCAAGCTCAAAGGGCGAAACAATTGATGACTCGAGAAGTATGTTCAGTGTTCATTCCGAACGGTATCGACGATATAGTAGCATTGCAGGATCGTCGGTTAGAGATGACGCGAGCGTTGAAAGCTCGCCGGTGTTTCCAAGTTACATGGCACTCACTAGTTCTGCAAAGGCAAAGTCCAAACTAATGCAAAAGACATCACCATCGGCATCTTCGGTTTCTGCAAGGAAGAGGCTTTCTTTCCCTGCTTCTCCGGTTGGTTCAAGAAGGTACTCCGGTCCACCTAAGGTGGAAATATAAGCATCCTAGACTTTAACATCTTCAGATTGAAGATGTTTCTGGTGTCTACAACGGTCAAGGATTGACGTGTGATTACGTTTAATAATTCTATTTTCTCAAATTATAATTAGTGTTTACGTACTAGTTTTGTGTTCAGTGTCTGTGTCATTGTGTAAATTTGGTTGATTTGTGTTTGGACTGTTACACATTGTCATAAATCATGAAGATGTGAAATTATTAACACCATAACCCAACAATCACTTTGTATTTATCATTTGTCACTTTGTTTAACAAGTATAAGCATTGAGATCCATATCATAACAATTTTTATTACTTCTATATATATACTAGTAAGATGAACAACATTTTCGGATACAAAAATATAATAGTTTTGAAATTCTAAATTGAACAAGCATGTCTTTTCTCTTGTTTCTCCTACGAGATAGTTCTCTAAAAGAGTCATGTCGAACATTTGCCATCTCGATAGTATAAATGTGTAAGCAGTCACACTCGTATTGAATAACAGTATTTTCTATAATTAAGTATGACCGTTACAGCTAAATAACCAACTCTAATGGTAACCAATAAGGGATCTTACCGCGGTGAGTTTGAGTTTTGGACCCTATTGTTAATGATTGTAAAATCTTCTTAAGAGGATTCAATTCGGTTACTGTTATGTTTCTTCTTAAGAGGATTCAATTCTGTTACTGTTATGTTTCTTCTGAGAGGATTTAATTCTGTTACTGTTGTGTTTGTAAGCAAAGATTATAACGTGGGTGCCCATTACATGGTGGGAGTGGAAAAATCCTTAGGTTCTAAAACTTGGATTTGTCACATTCCTCTCTTGGATACTCCACCTATTTGTGTTGCCAATTTCACCTTTCTTTAATATAAACTTCTTTTGAGATTAAAAAAATAATAATTATAAAAAAAACGTTACTTTTCGGTCAATCAAAATTTTTAAATTTGAATTCAGTTTTAAGCAATGTTAATTTTTTTTTAGAGAAATACTTACCATCTATTATACTTTTTTTATTCAAGAAATTAGTCTTTGTATTTACGTGTCTTTTATTAAAAAAAATTAGTCTTTATACTTACATGTAGAGGATATTTAATATTTAAAAAAAATGTGTTTTTCTTTTAAAAAAATACAGGATATCTATTTTTTTTAAATGCGTTTTTCCTTGTAAAAAATACATATCACTTAACCAAGTAAGAAAAACATATCACTGAAAAATACATATTTTCTTATGATAATTTTTTAGAAAATAGTAAAATGCATATATTATTACATTAAAACAATATATTAAGAATAGAATTTCCTTATTAAAGTGTAAATGTTACAGTATATCCAGAGTTTGGTAAGTTCAATTAAACAAGTCATGAATTCAAAAGATCGAAGAAAGTTTGGATGACAGATTCAGATTAAATCAAATAACTTGGTCACATAACCTCTAGCTGAGAGATCCCTATTTAATGATGAACACTTCCATACACCATAGTAGATTTATTTAAACCATAATCTTCTCCATACCTCTTCAACTTTTCCATTAAATCTGCTAGAGATTATGTTTGTTTCAAACTTAACATCTCAAATGAATTCTATAATTGACAGTTGAAATCTCTTAAAATCTCTACCCAACCGCAGCCTATAACCTCCCCAAGAAGAATGTGATTTGCAAGAAAATTCTCATTATTGATACCAACTAAGGACCTTTCCTTCCAATGCCACCATCACAGGTTGCACTCGTTCTGCATCGATAACCATCTTGTTATAAAAATACCCCTCTACTCTGCTCAATCAGCCATATATCATTACACCCTCATCCGAAAATCCGCAAATTTTTACCATTCTCTCCTTAGATTCTCTGCACACAAGTGTTAGTAGTTCCAAAATATATGATCCATCCTATAATGTTTCTTAACATATTTCCCTATCAAAACCCTATAACTCCATTTCTGTTCTTCTCTCTTATACTCCAAAAACGTTTCCGAAAACAACTGAAAGTCGCCTTTACCTAAAACCTCAAACACAAACGGATCCGTCGACAATCTCGGCCTATCATCCACATCCATTTTATGCAAAACAAACTCCAAATTTCTTCCAAGCTTCCTATCCAAGTAAGCATCCACAACACAACCATAAGTAACCAAATCGGGAACTACCTTTTCACTTCTCATATGTTCAACACTAAGATGAAGATCCCAAAACAACGACATCCTCGAAAACGCCAACGCACGAATATTAAACGTCGTAACATCAGGACGAAACCCTAATTCAACCATCCTAATAAACTCCTTCTGCAAACTCTTCATCTTAAAATTAGCAGCATAAGAAAGCAACAAAAGATTCCACAAAAGATTCCCTACATTTCTCCTACCTAAACCAACATCTCTAACAAACTCACCCAATTCATAGAATTTTCTCTTCTTTATGTAACCATAAGCCATGGCCCTAATCACATTTATCTCGATCAAAAACCTAGATCTTTTGCACCTTCCATAAGCATTCTCCATCTCTTTCAAACTACCATAAACGGCGTAACATAAGAGAAATTCATTACCTGTTTTGGAATCCATTAGAAAACCCTTTGAAACCATTTCATGGGTTGTTTCTTCCATCAATTTTAGGTTTCCTGCACTTCCAAAAGAGGAGATTGCTAATGAGTAAAATTGAGGTAATAAAGGTGAATTTTTTGAATTTAGAGAATGGAGAACGTTGATGATTTGATCGAAGTTTTGATTTTTTTTGTATGATTTGAATAATTTTGAAATGAAATTGAAAGAGGGGTTGAAGGAACTGTTTAGGAGTTGTTCCCATGTGGTTTGGGATTGATGAAAGAGGGCATTTTCGGCATAGTATAACATCAATGAAGGTAGAGAAGAGGGTTTGGTATCATTGTGAGAAAGTAAGGAATTGGGTCGGTGAAAAAATGGTTTTTTTGAAGTGGGGTTTTGAAAAGATTTGATATTATTGCGGTGGTGAATTAGGCTATGATGGGGATGGTGTTGTTGTGGAGATGAAGATGAGGAAGAAGAGTGATGTTTGAGAAGAAGAATATTATGAGAAGAGAGAGAAATGGTTTTCATTGAGAATGAATGAAAGATGGGAGAAGCAAGCAAAGAGATGAGATTACTTAGGCTATGTGCTGAAAAAATATCTACAAGCTAGTTTAGGAGAGTTTAGGAGATAACTTATTCTTAAAATCCCTTCATGAGTTGCTATGTATGTTGATGATTATTATTTATAGCCATCATTGTTAGAGAATTACATGTGTATGATACTTCCACTAGAGTTGATTTCTCTTTTACTTTTAACTTAAAAACCAACTTTTTTTTTCTAAGGAACTTACTTTATGTTTAACATATTTTTTTATATAATAATGATTTTTTTCCGTACATGATCCATTCTTACAACTTATTTAGAGATATATTCTCTAATAATGCATTGTTTCTTTTTTATTTGACATTAATTATTATTATACTAATGGTTCTAGAGTTTTGCAATAGACACAGTACTATCATAGTGAATTAACACAATTGATATAGTTTTTTCTCATAAAGGGTCCTCAGCTAGCAAGCATTTCAACCTACTTGACTTTTCACTAGCAACCTGTAGCACTCTAAAATTTGCCATATCTTTTTGTAACTTTAACTAACTTTTGATTCGCATTCATCTGCATCTTTCATTAGGACATAACCTCATAATCATATGTTGCATTAGTTTTCTAAGATATGGAATCAAAACATTCTTGTGATATTGGTTTTCTCTATTCAGAGTAAGTTCAGTTAGCTATCTCACTCAAGTCGAGGCAAGAGGTTGAATTCTATTCATTGTAATCTTTTTTACAAAAGATCTTCAAGTAAAGTGTTTCGAGTGCCATCTGTGATATAATTGAAAAGGTTGTGGATTAGGGTTTTGATCCCTTTGAACAATTCAAGTCATTTCATCATTATCAGGGTATCTCAAAGAGGATTAGGATTTTCATTCACGTTTGAGCTTGTGGACTTTTACCAGTTGAAGTTCATTGGGTTAAGGTTTCATTGTAACTTGTTGCTTGGAGTTGGTGTGGATTCATTATTATGGAGTATTGTATTCAAGTGAGTTTAAATTATTTAAGATAATCAAGTGGATGAAGATTTAAGCATGCTAAATTTGGAAAGAAGATTCATGTGGATTTATTGAAATACAAATTACTTAGAATCCAAGATGTCCACTCATTAAGTCAAGACCAATTGTCCACTTACATATCCAGTTCATTGCCATATCCAATTTAAATTCATAACCATTCTCATGTTAATATTATCCATTCCATTAACCCAAAGTTTCATATCCATAAACCACTTTGAAAATAAAACTAAAGCCCATGTTTTCTCTTAAGTTTACAATAACCACTACATCTTCATAAGAACATAAAGGCCTATTGTTACATTATTTGCAAGCCCATATCATACAATTACAAGGTCCATTACAAAGTTCAAAAAAAAAGAGAGGATATGTCCATCACACAAATTTTACAACAAAACAAAGGCTCATTTACAAAAGTCATCCATAACCAAAAATTGACACAAAAATAGAGACTAAGCCCATCCATGAGAGCCCACCATGTTTCCAACAATTTCATGTCTTAAAACATTACCTCAATTTTACCTACACTACACAAAACCTTCAGAAACATCACGCAAGGCATACCACTTGCCACAACTTACCACACACAAACAATGAGCAAACCAACCATACAATCAGTCATCCACAATAGCACAATGTTTACCGGACCATGCGAACCCGCGAACCCACAAGCCCCATGTTTTACTATAATCCCAGCCACTAACCCTGGTACCTGCATGCGTAAGGACAAAACATAATAGCCTGCTACAAGACGAACGAAAGCAAAAACAATTGCATACGAGAGGCCATTATACGCAGCCACTACGAGAAAGTACGAAACTGCAGTGTACCACCATTTTTCAGCATTCACAATAGAGCATCAAAACGCATAGCAAAGCGAAACAAACAATAGAAAATGAATTGAAATATAACTCACCTTTTCTATAAGTTAACACCCTCCTCATCCATCAGATAGCAACAAGAGAACACACCTCATACCGAATTTCAAAAGCTTCAGCAACAACTACTTCAAACTCATTCATCTTTCCTTGACACTAGCAAAAAGAAACACCTCCAAACCACACTATTCATGCTCACGTTCACCATAAAAAACACTTCAAATCTCCGTTGCGATCCATCCATCTTCGTAACCCATAAAAGGACAACCAAACTCATCACCACCTCAACCGCAAACCCAACAAAACAACAACAACTCAGACAATACCCACCACAAATCAAACCCATTCAAAATCAAAAGAGAAGAAAGAGACGACACGAAGAGAGTCAAGTTTGAAAAGAGAAACAGAGAGAGTAGTCGTCGTGCCACGAGAAGACGGAGAGAGGTCCGACGAGGAGAAAACGAAGAGCACCGCGAGAGTGATGGAGAGGAAAACTGATTTTGGAACGTAATTTTGGTGAGAGATGTTCAGAGGGAGATCGTGAGTGAATGGAAAGGGGAAGATCGTGACTTGGTTATCTGACTTCTTTTGCCTTTTTTTTCTGAATTTTATTCTATCAAAAAAAGTCTTCCGGTAAACAAACCAAAAAAAATGTGAACCGGAAGACTTCCAAAAAGTCTTCCGGTAAACAAACCAAAAAAAATGTGAACTGGAAGACTTCCAAAAAGTCTTCCGGTAAACAAACCAAAAAATTATAACTTTTTATAAGAGGGTATTTTGATCCAAAAAATTTTAGTGTAGGGGTATGGGTATAATTGTAGGGGTATGGGATAAAATTTCCTCTATTTTATTTTATGAAAAAATTAGGTTAAGATTTTTCCTTTGGGACATTGATTTTCTCTTGTTGAAGCCCAATCGTGTTGCTATTTCACACTCATTATTACTTGTTGCACCCCTAGTTAGTTTTAGTTACATTTTAATTAGGTTTTAATATTTTAGATTATTATTTTAGAATTGAACTTTAATCTTGGTTTAGATTTTAGTTAATTTTATTTAGGATTAATTGTAGATTTTTGATTAGAAGTTAATATTAAATTAACTTTATTAGAATTTTTTTAGAAATTAATTTTGACTTAACTTAGGATTAATTTTTTTATTAGAATTTAGTTAATTAAACTTTGATTTTCTTTTTAACTTAAGTGGACTTTGTTTTTTATTTTAATTTGAATTTACTTTTGACTAATTTTATCCTTAATTTTGGTTTTAGTTTCAATTAATGCTTGAGTACGTTTGTGAATATTTCTTTGATGATACTTGTTTATATTTGCTTTGACGATTGATATGACTTTGAGTCTCGATACTTGATGTTATTTGTGATTGCGATGCTTCGTGTTTACTTGTTGATTACCTTTGTATTCACATGATCCCTTAGGATTCCTAACTCCAATTAATTTCTAATTAAGTTAGAGGTAGGAGAGACATTAGGCTCTCAATCCAAGTATGACAACATTAGGTTAGCTTCCCTCCTAATCTTGATCTTAGGGCCACATTGTATGATAACAGTTAGGATCCGGTTTCCCCTATACCTTTTGTGCGCCGCTCTTTTTCTTTCTCAAAACAATAACCAAAACACTTAATGAATACGTAGGCATGAGATGACGATGTTTGCTCTAATTTCTCATACCATATGAGGATACGTAGGCATGAGATGACGATGTCTTGGCGAGCGACTTTCCACCATCACCTATAGTTTTCCGAACTACGTTGACTTTGACTTTTCCATTGCACGAGAGAACACGTAGGCATAGGGCGACGATGTTCTATCGAGTCTCCTTTTTCTTTTCCCTTTTTCGTTCCCATTTAGCAATAGCTTTTAGATTACTCACCTTTTTAATTAGACAATAAGCGTGGACCCCGTTGAGTATAACGGATGTGAGGGGGTGCTAATACCTTCCCCTTGCGTAACAGGCTCCCGAACCCAAAATTTGGTTGTGATGACCTTGTCTTCTCTTTTCTTTTAGGTTTTCTTTGATCGTTTCCTTTCTCTGTATTGGGATAAATAAAGTTCGGTGGCGACTCTTCTGTTTGTTTCCTCTTGTTTTTCGCAGTTGCGACACAACCGTTAATGTTATCATTTGATATTCCCTCATGGATTGAGCTAAGTTAGATTATTTCTTTGATTTCCAAGATATTACTCCTCCAATTATGTTGAATATATAACCATTAGTTGCTTTGGAATCATCTTATAAAGTGTTCTAATTTGCATCATTGTATCCTTCTAGTACATTAGGAAATTTATGATAATGTAAACCAATATTCATGGTCCTTTTAAGGTATCACATGACTCTCTCAATGGCTTTTCAATGCTTATTTCTCGGTATACTTGTAAACATGTACATCAATCATACGACATATACGATTTTGGGTAATAAAATTAGTGACATACCTATAATTGTCAATGATGCTCTCATACTCAATTTATATGATACTATCAAGAGTGTTCTTAAATAATTTAAAATTAGGATTATGTGCATGCAGATTTACAGTCAAAATAAATATATTTCTTTAAGATCTTTCCATATAGTGAGATTTATCCAAAGATATATCCTTTTCACATCTAGTGGTCTTGGTTCCAAGAATCACTTTGCCTACTCAGAGGTCTTTCATATCAAATTTGTTGCACAACAATGATTTTACATTAGTTACAACGTGAAGGTTGGATCCAAACATGAGTAAGTTGTCTACATAGACACATATAATAGTGCAAATGCCATTTTCATATTTGTAACAAACACATTTGTCACTTTCATTCACTTTGTACCCATTCAATATCATTAGGTTATCAAACTTTTCATGTCATTGCTTTAGAGTTCATGTTAGACCATACATAAACTTATCTAACTTATAAACTTTCTTTTCTTGCCCATGAATCAAAAAGCCTTCTGATTGATCCATATAGATTTATTTTTCTAAATCATTGTTTAAAAAATTGTTTAACATCCATTTGGTGTACTATTAAGTTACAAAAAACAGTAACTGAAATCAGTATCCTAATTGATGTAATTATAGTGGTTGGAGAAAAA